ATTGGAGGGGTGACAGGTAAGCTTCTAACATGGATGATAAATTTTCTGACTGATAGAAAAATGAGGGCAGTAATCAGAGGCAATGTATCGGAATGGAGAAATGTCACAAGTGGAGTACCACAGGGTTCAGTTCTTGCACCAGTTATGTTTATTGTCTACATAAATGATCTACCAGTTGGTATACAGAATTATATGAACATGTTTGCTGATGATGCTAAGATAATAGGAAGGATAAGAAATTTAGATGACTGTCATGCCCTTCAAGAAGACCTGGACAAAATAAGTATATGGAGCACCACTTGGCAAATGGAATTTAATGTTAATAAATGTCATGTTATGGAATGTGGAATAGGAGAACATAGACCCCACACAACCTATATATTATGTGAGAAATCTTTAAAGAATTCTGATAAAGAAAGAGATCTAGGAGTGGTTCTAGATAGAAAACTATCACCTGAGCACATAAAGAATATTGTGCAAGGAGCCTATGCAATGCTTTCTAACTTCAGAATTGCATTTAAATACATGGATGGCGATATACTAAAGAAATTGTTCATGATTTTTGTTAGGCCAAAGCTAGAATATGCAGCTGTTGTGTGGTGCCCATATCTTAAGAAGCACATCAACAAACTGGAAAAGGTGCAAAGACATGCTACTAAGTGGCTCCCAGAACTGAAGGGCAAGAGCTACGAGGAGAGGTTAGAAGCATTAAATATGCCAAAACTAGAAGACAGAAGAAAAAGAGGTGATATGATCACTACGCACAAAATAGTAACAGGAATTGATAAAATCGACAGGGAAGACTTCCTGAGACCTGGAACTTCAAGAACAAGAGGTCATAGATTTAAACTAGCTAAACACAGATGCCGAAGAAATATAAGAAAATTCACTTTCGCAAATAGAGTGGTAGACGGTTGGAACAAGTTAAGTGAGAAGGTGGTGGAGGCCAAGACCGTCAGTAGTTTCAAAGCGTTATATGACAAAGAGTGCTGGGAAGACGGGACACCACGAGCGTAGCTCTCATCCTGTAACTACACTTAGGTAATTACAGTGCAGTAGCGACACCGGAGCCAGAGCACATGATCTTTGCCTATAGCATCAGCTTCAAGAACTGAGGTGTGGGTAGCCAGCGTGGAGGGTCTGGGGTTCCCCCTTCCCCCTCCTGGGGAGTGGGGAGCTGCGCAGACAGCGGCGCGGCGGCGTGTGACGTCACACTAGTTTGCTTGTTTTCTTTTGGGGAGTTTTATCCACTAGTTCGGATTTTGGTAGCAATTTTAACCAGAATAGGGGTTTGTTTTGAGGCGCTTACCTTTCTGGGTGCCTGTTCCGGTCGATGGCAGACATAGAATGCTTCCAACCACACGGGGGCTTCTATAGGCCATTGCTCCGCTTGCCTCTCTGAGGGGGCCCGGTTCTGGCCGTGGTCCCCGGTAGGCCTAAGAACTCCATACACATGACTGAGCCAAAGTCTGACATTAGCATATCAGCCTGGAATAGCTCCGGGAGCCGACGGGGCTCCCCCCAGAAAGGGCTATCGCGAAGATACCATAACAGCCTTCGAAGACAAACCCTGCCCAGTGGGTAAACCAGCATGGCAAAGTTTAGGCTCCCGCACAACTGCTCAAGCTGCTGCTGAGTAACCTGGGTCCTCCTTAAAAAACAACAACTGAAAACGGGACTGCAGGCAAAGCAAAGCAGCAGGAGGGAGAGAGATGGAAGCCCTCCTAGAATCCCATGCGAGGCCCAGCCAAGTCCAAACCTGGGATGATACCAGCTGGGACATTTGCCAATTCACCAGGAACCCAAATCTGAAAAGTTGGGAAAGAACCAGATGCCTGGCTAGCAGACATGCAGACTGGTTGGGAGCACTTACAAATCAGTTATCGAGGTAGGCCAGAACCCGAAGACCTAGCAGATGCAGATGGGTCACCACGACCCGTGTTAACCACATGAAAAAGCGAGATGCCAGATTCAGACCGAATGGAAGGCAACACAAGCCTATCATCCTACCACAAACCACAGCCAATCTCTGAACCCCGGATGAATAGGAACATGCCAATAAGCGTCCTTGAGGTCCAGAGCAATCATCCAAGAGCTAGGCTCGAGAAGAAGCCGGACCTGGGACAACGTGGTCATCTGAAAGGTGGGGCAAGGAATCAAACGGTTCAGATGGGACGAGTCCAGAATGAACCAAAGATCCGCATAGTCCTGTTTCGGAACTGGAAACAGGCAGGAAACCCACCTGAGGGACAAAATCCCTCAGGTGGGAGAGTTACGAGGAGAGACAAGGGGCATTAAACACACCAAAACTAGAAGATAGAAGAAAAAGAGGTGATATGATCACCACTTACAAAATACAAACAGGAATCAACCACATTGGCAAAGAGGAATTCCTGAAACCAGCAACTTCAAGAATAAGAGGACATAGATTCAAGCTAAGGAAACAAAGGTGCCCCAAAAAATTAGAAAGTTTTCTTTTGCAAACAGTAGTAGATGGTTGGAATAAATTAAGTGAGAAGATGGTGGAGGCCAAAACCATCAGTAGTTTTAAAGCGCTACGCAACAAAGAGTACTGGGAAGACAGGACACCATGAGCGTAGCTCTCATCCTGCAACAACACTTATGTAATTACACACTTGTAATTACAAATAAATTGTAGTACAGGATGATGATAGTGAGTGGTGTCCCAGAGAACATAAAGGTATAGTGCTTTTGAAAAATAGGTGAGATAACAGGAATGTGCCAAGGGAAGTGAAATAGTGGATGAGAAAAAGTTACCCCTAGTGTTTACAGTGCAGAGAACAACATTCAAGATGGCCGCCTGCAAGAGGAAATACAAAACAGAGCTTGATTTTGCTGGATTCAGTGAAGAAAGCATTGAGATAACCAGTCTATACAACAAGGTGGTAAAATTAGATACTATTGTGACCTCTCATGTAGAAATAATTAGTAAATTGAAAGAAAGTAATGACCATTTAAATAGCAAAGTTGTATGTCTTGAGGGTGTAGTGAAAGACTTGCGCAAGGATAAGATTCAATTGGAAACTAATTGCTAAGCCATGGAAGAAGAAAATAGACTCTTAAAAATAGCTTTGAAAGAAGTTAAAGTAAATTAAAACATAAATAACTACAATAGGTTAGGTAAGGAATTTCAACAGGAGAAACAGCTTTTGTCAGCACAGATGGAGGAAGTTACACAGGGAATAGAACAGTGCAAGAAAGATATGCAACTCACTTATGCACAAGTGGCCAAGGAGAAGGAAAAAATAGAAGAAGCAGTAAAGGAAGTCAAACACTGCAGCAACCAAGATAAAACAAGCATTAGGCTAGAAGTGAGGAAAGAATTGGCATCTAACCCGAAGTTGGTGCAAAACACAGTTGATCGGAGTAAGTCCCTGATCATTTTTGGCTGCAAGGAAAAGGAGATAACATCTAGGTCAGAAAGAGCTGTAGAAGAAGAAAAAGTAGTAGATAAAATTGTTGGCCTCGTGGAAGGTCTTACAACCATAGAGAATGTCTGCGACTACAGGAGAATAGGCAGATATGTAAAAGGGAAAGATCGACCTTTGAGGATCACCCTAAATGGTACCAAACAAATGGAAGAATTATTAAGGAATGCTAGAAAATTACAAAGTGATGAGGATGGGAAAGTGTGGTCGTTAAGACGAGATCTTTCAAAAGAAGATAGAGAGAAGCTGAAACTGAACCTCGCCGAGGCAAAACGTTTAAATGAGAGCAGGAATGAAGAAGAAATCAATTCTTTTTTCTAAAAAGTGATAGGGGTAGGCAGGCCAGTAAAGTGGTACATAAAGGCAAACCAACAAAATCATTAGAGAAAAGGGGAGTGAAAAATAAGAAGAGGGGGAACAAGTTCCTGAAGATTGCATACATCAACACAGATGGAGTAAGATCAAACATACTGGAGTTAAGTGATATAATACAGCTGCAGACACCAGACATTGTTGCACTCACGGAGACTAAACTTGAAGATGCTATTTTAAATGAGGTCATATTCCCAAGGGGCTACTCAATTTGGAGACGGGAGAGAAAAATCAGGAAAGGCGGTGGCGTTGCTGTGCTGGTGAAAGAACACCTAAAGGTGAACGAAATAGTGACTGCCAATCCACAAGAAGTTGACATAATAGCACTAGAGATCTGCCATGAGGATGATAAACTAATGATCATAAATGCATATAGTCCACCGTTAAGCAGCACATGGTCAAAGGAGGAGCTAGATAGTAAATGAGAAGGTCTTATAACAATAATGAGAGAGATCATAGCGAGAGCAGATAACGATAGTTCACGACTGTTGATAGTCGGCGACTTCAACTTGAAATCCATAGACTGGGAAGCATGTGAAGCTAAAACAGAAGATTTCTGGACCTGTAAATTTGTAGACCTCATCCTGGAAACATTCTTGTATCAACATGTTAAACAAGCTACGAGGATGAGGGAAGGGGACGTCCCCTCCATGCTAGATTTGATATTTACCAGGAAGGAGGAAGAAATATTTGACATTCAGTACCTTCCTCCCTTGGGTAAAAGGGACCATGTCTTTTTGGGAATAAAGTATGCAATGCGTTATAATCTGGAAGAAAATATGACGGTCGATGCAAATGAAAAACCTGACTTTAGGAGAGGACATTATGGCAACCTTAGAAATTTTTTTAGTGAGTATACTATACCAATCGACTATCCCGAGGTCGATTGGATAAAAAATTAATTTTATACAAATATTTTTTGTAGTGGACGCAAGTCCGGTCCAAAGTTAGGACTCAGGAGAAAAATAATGGACGCGAGTCCGGTCCAAAGTTACCGATAGTGTTAATAAAAATGGAAGACAAAGTTAGAATACATAAATATTCATGGGAAAATACAGTGTGCAGGTAAATCCAGAAACTTCTGTATTATAATTATGCATCACTCTCATTTCTATAAATGATCACAGTTTTTAGAAAAATCACAAATATCATCAATGTATATTTACTAAAATAACATACCTGGGACTACTTTTGATGGACTGTCTAATGGTGTATATGGTTTTGTGATAAACTGCCGAGCATGGTAGGTACCATGTTTTGTTACCGAGGCTTGAGAAGCATGTCTATGAGCAACATGTCTACAATGGGCAGGAATCCAAGGTTGGGATAGTGCTTCAGATAATTTCTTTTTAGCCTCTCGATGAATAAGTGCAGCATTATCTGCAAACATATACAGCAAGAATATAATAAAACAATGTAAATGTTCACAAAGTTAACATCTTAAGAGTAATAAAAATAACTAAAATTATGCCACAAACATTTTATTTTCTTCACAGTAATCTCCTGTAAATGATTGTTAGAGTTGAATGTAATGAAATGCCTCTTTCTTATGACTTCCTCAGCATCACTCCAAGATATAACCTGGCTAGCTGGCATACTGAAGAACTGCACCAGGCTCTTTCAGTTCATGAGATTTACTGAAAACCAGGACCAGAATCTTGATTCATCAATAGAGGTAGGGGAGTATGGGAATCTAGGATTACCATAGTACCCAAGAGAAAACTGCCAGAAAAATATAGTGCACCAAATCAGACACTTCCATGGAAAAGATTGGTAATGCTCTTCTGGCTCTGTAAACCATCATCTGACTTGAGCCACTGCTCCATAATTCATGTACACTTTTCATACTGATAGGTCATATACCACTTTCTTAGATCTTAAATCAGCCTTTGACATTGCTAACCGACATTAATTTATTAAAATAGATATAAACTAACTAAACAAAGATGCTGAAGAAATATAAGAAAATTCACTTTCGCAAACAGAATGGTGGACGGTTGAAACAAGTTAAGTGAGAAGGTGGTGGAGGCCAAAACCGTCAGTAGTTTCAACGCGTTATATGACAAAGAGAGCTGGGTAGAAGGGACACTATGAGCATGGCTCTTATCCTGTAACTACACTTATATAATTACACCACTAGGTAGCAGCAGCATCGGATACCTGAAGTCTCAGCATACCACCCCACTCATTCTTGCACTGCAAAAATGTACAACTAGTACCCCTAAATAACACAAGAGAAGGGGATGGGGGACAACTGAGGTACCAACCAAACAAAGGTGCTTCATTACTGTAGGTTCCCTTCCCTAGGTGCCCAATAGGTACTACCCTTGGAGCTTGGAGCCTCCTTCTGCAAGTCTCCTTGGGATCTACCTCCGCTGTCTTTTACTGCTCGGTACTTGGCCACCCTTGGGGTCAGCTGGGGGTTTGTTACCCTAGTTTCTGGGTAGGAGGTAGTTTTTGTCACTGGTAGGGACATGGGGTACTACTTAGTCAGTTATCACTTATTATAGTGACCGGCTCTGTTCCGCCTGGGTACGTTGTCCTCTTGCGGTGTTTTTCTTTTGTTTTTGTTTGTTCCTGCCTGGTGGGGGGTCTGCTTTGTACTCTCGCTCTCTGTTGTTTGGGTTGGTGTGGGTTTTCTTCTGTGTGTTGGTGGTATTCCCCAGCTAGGCCCCCGTGAGTGGACACGTCCCAGGGGTTCAGCTTTTAGAAGTTTGTTTGGTAGTTTTGGGTGCCGGTTAGCAGTACCCTGCCTGGGCTTCCCTTAGCATGTTAAGAAGGCTAAGTGCCCTGAGAAACCCCACAGGGGCTCCGTGGTCCAATGGATGTGATCCTTGAGTCCCCTCTCGCTTCTTGCGAGTTTGAAGGTTGCTCTGTCCCACTGTCTCAGGGCGACACTCACCAGTTGTGCCTCCGCCATGCTGCCTGTTGGGTCGGTGATTCTTTTGACCCACAGTCGTACGACGTTTGTTGTCTGTACGTGCTCTAGTTCACCCAAGTTACTGAACATGATATGAGGGTGCAGGCAGCTGCTGCATTGCATGTTAGGTTTAGGTTGCTGCAACGTGCTAGGCTGGCTGCAGCCCCGGATACCCCGAGACTACCTCGTTTTGGTTATAGGGACCCAGAGTTGAGGGTGGGAGTCACTTCGGCTCTGGTTCCGTCCACCCCTCCTAGTCATTCCCCCTTCTATTGTGCATCCAGTTCCTCCCACCTTGCTTCCGGCTCCGAAGCGTCTGAGGGTTTCGGAGTCGGGGCAGGATCTAGTTGGTATTGAGACTCGGGCGGTTTCGGGGGAGTTCCCTTCTGGGGTTGCAGTGGAGGCATTTGAGCCTGGTCCTCCAGCTGGAGCTTCTGGGTCTGACCAGTGGGCCCCCCTTCGTTCCTGCTTTTTCGGCGGCTCCCACCTTTTCTTTAGAGGCTCCAAATCCCCAGACGGAAGGGGGTTTGGAGGCCGGCTCGGCCGTGAGTCCTCAGGGTGAGGTTCCCAGGGTAGGAGATTGGTTGACGTGTGGGCCTTGGGCCCCGTTGGACCCCGCCTGGGTTTTTGTACCCTCAGAGCCAAGCTTGATGTTACAAGAAGTGGGGTTCTCTTTCGCTCCCTCATCATATAAGTTGGATTTGGCATCTATCCCTCCCCGGGTTTGGTTCTGTGATCCCTTGGGTTCTTCAGTCCCGTCCTTCCAGAGGTTTTCGGCTTCCCGCATCCCGTCACAGGTGGTGCGGGAAGCCCTTGTGGCTTACCTCCTGTGTGACCCAGATTATGCTTTCATGATGGATCTGCCTTCCTTCATGTACGGTTCTTCGTTTTCGTACTGGGTTTGTTATGAAGTTCCTGAGTCGTCCTGGTTAGCAGACCAGGTCTGGGCCCAGTCTGGGTCCGGAGGAGCCCTCCGAACCCAACTGCCCGCTCTTCTCTTTGGAGACTTGGCACACGTTCTGTTGGTCCCGTGCGCTTAATTGGAGGGTGGCTCAGACAGCCTTGCAGGTTTTCCTGGGGGGCAACTTGGAGCACCTTAATGTTTGTTTGTTTGCTCCTGCCCTTCTGCGGAATGTTGGTGTGATCCAGCTTCATGTGCAGGTTCCCTCTCTCCCTCCCTTCCTGGCTGCCTTGGTCAAAGATTATTTGCATACACGTGACCTGCTGGCTTTGGTCCTGCGTTTCTTCTCCCTCCTCGAGCTGTCCTCAGATTGGCTTGAGTTGGATGTGAAGGCGCTTGGGGCTGCCTCTGGGTCTGGTGCGCTGCCCTTGGTGGTGCGGGCTTTGTCTACATTGTTGAGGCTGTTCGTGCCGCTTCTGCGGGATGTGGTTTTGCATTTTTTTCCTTCTCGACTCACATGTTGGCAGGCGGTGCTTACTTCTTTAGAATTTGCTTGAGCCCTGGCTCTTCGATTGTCTTTGCCTTTTTTGTCCTCTGCTGTTCGCAGAGTCTGCTGTGGTGCAGTATCTCCAGGCGGCTTCGGTTAGTTGCTGTCCTATGTCCGGCTATGTTAGTTCTCCGGGGGGGGCTCGTGGGGGGGGGCTGTCCCGGAAGGGTTGTACCAGGGTTTGGGGTACTTCCCGTCGTGGTAGGCCAGTGGTACCAGATTTGGGGCAGGCGCTGCCTCCGGTTCCATCTTTTTCTGGTCAGCGCAGGGATCGCCCTGTGCGCCGCTTAGGTTCTCGTAAAGTGCAGTGGCCCTTTTGCGATTCGTCCCATTAACGGGGTGAAGGCTGGGGGGAGGCTCGCTCTGTTCACTCACGCCTGGCCCTACGATTTTCTAAGGTTGTTTTCCTGTTGGCATTAGCCTCTGGGGGCCAGGTCGGGAAGCTTCATGCTCTCCTCCGGCGCAGAGGTTTATGCTCCTTCGGTCCTGATGGTAGGTTTGTTCGGTTGCAGCCGACTCCTTCTTTTCTGGCTAAGAATAAGACTGCTGCTTTCCGGAGAGGCCCTTGGGTTGTCGATGCTTGATTGGTCAGGCCAAGGGTGCATCATGTGCTGTGTCCGGTTGCAGCTCTCTGCCGTTATTTGTGCGCCACAGCTTCGGTGGCCGGTGGTCACTTTGGGTTGACCCTGTTTCCCTCCTTTCCTGTTCCCGGGCTCTGGTCTCTCAGGTTGTCTGCAGTGTTATTAAGTCTAGCCAGCCTGCGGTCTATCCCTGTGCCCACGACGTTTGAAAGTTTGCTGCCTTGGCTGCCGTTTTTGGCAACATGTCTTGGGTTGACATTCGGGCGTGGGGTTTTTGGAGGTTGAAAAGGGTCCTGGCCGCTCATTACCTGGTCAGTGTCCCTCGGCCTGGTAGGGCCTGTGTTGCATTTGGTTGGCGGTTGCAACCAGTTGTTTCGACTTCATGTTGAGGTGCGAGGAACTACCGCCTCCCGGGATAAGTCCCTGTGTTTTCTTGTCTTTGGGGAATTAGCTCCAGGGAGCTGACAAGGCTTCCCCTAGAAAACCAGCATTGAGTGTAATGAAACCCCATTTTCTGAGTGAGACCCGGAGGCTCCCGCATCATCCCTTCCTCCCTCCGGTCAGTGGTGTTTTCGCGTGTTTTGACATTCAGCCTAAGAATTGCCAATTGGATCACCGGCCTCGGGGGTCTGGGGCTCCCCCTTTCCCTTCCTGGGGAGCGGTGGTTTTGGGAAGTTCTGTCCACTCGTTTGGCTTTGGTAGCAATAGTTTCACAAGAATAGGGGGTTTGTTTTGGGACGCCTACCTTTCTGGGTGTTTGACCCAGTCGATGGCAGACATAGAATGCTCTCAACCACAGGGGTTTCTATAGGTCATTGCTCCTCGTGCCCCTCTAAGAGGGGAGGGGGCTGGTTCTGGCTCGTGGCCCCTGGTAGGCAAGAACTTCATGCACATTGACTGATGTCACAAAATTATACGTATCCATTCAGCCCGGATAGCTCCGGGGAGCCTCCGAGTCTCACCCATAAAAGGGCGTTTCATTACAATCAATGCTGGTTTTATGTTCAAAAACAAAAAAGCACAAAAACAGTGAAATTCTTTACAAGCGTGATCGTCACTAAGCGGGTGGCTCTGGTAAACTGAGGCGGGGTCGCCTGTGCCACCAGGAACCATGCACTCGGTCAACCCATACGTATATGAAGTAGCTAGTAGCTAGTCAATGCAAAGGTTGTAAGTTGAGTCACATTTTTCGATGAAATTGGGGTCGTAACTCAAAAAAATTGTGAGTAGGAGCAGCCGTAAGTCAAGGTGCCACTGCATTATCAGAAATGGCCAACAAGGCAGCATTCTTGCAAATATCATAAGCATGAGGATAGGTAGGCTGGCTAGCTTCAATGGCACTGCAGACAACCTGAGAAACAAGAGTTCTGGAACAAGAAACCAGAGAAACTGGATCAACCCGCAACGAATCCACCAAAATGGAACCCGAGG